GCTAAATCTATAATAACCTGTTTCCCTGAATCCCTTCACTAAATATTACCCTGCTCACACTTCAACAGCTCATCAAGTCCCAAAAACCATTCGTCTCCATTTACTCCTATCTAACATGCTCACACACACTTGCTGGAAGTCCGAGCCCCTCACCAACAAAACCTTCTTTACCCCCTCCCTCCAACCTTTTCGAGGATGACCCCTACCCCTCCTTCCTTGCCCTACAGATTTATATGATCTCCAAGTCATTCTACTTTTCAACATGTAATAGAACAAAAAATTTAGGGTCAGTACTTGCTGAGATATAAGACTGTGAAGTTGGTGCTGGATGCTCACCTGACTGCAACATGGAGTACTGCCGCTTGCAGAAGGGTTGCCGATATACTTTTTTTTCTCTTTGTTTTTAATTTATATAGTTTTCATGTCCTGATAATTACAATTTGTAGTAGTTCTGTGATTTCATAGTTAATTTTTGTTCTGACACTAATATTAGGTATTGAAATAGTACTTAGTCACAAACACACCAACAGGCAAACATTTTTACCTGCCTTGGTCACACACTTTTGTCTAGAAATATATATACAGTAGGGCTCCACTTATACGACAGGTTAAGTTCCAGGCTACCGCCGTCAAGTGGAACACCCTTTTTTTCCCCTTATAAATGCATACAAATACTACTAGATAACAAGTTTACACTAACATATATTAAGTTAGCAATAGAACTAGGCATCAAAAAACAATAAAAAAGTACAATACACACATAGTGCACTCATTACTTACACTAAAATATTTATAGTCTTAATCTAAGGTGAGACAAGTAGTATTTATGGTAAGAAATCAAGTGTGGTGTGTATGGTAGTCAGCCGGGCTACCATACCAGGCCACCCCACCTACACATAATATTCTATTACATTTAAGCATCCCAGAGCTATAAAATGCATATACAGTTTACTCATTACTTACCTTAAAATATTTGTAGTCTTAACCTAGGGTGAGATGAGTAGTATTTATTGTAAGAAATCAAGTGTGGTACGTATGGTAGTCAGCCGGGCTACCATACCAGGCCATTCCACCCACACATACTATTCTATGATATTTAACTCTTTGAGGGTTTCGGACGTACTAGTACGGCTTACAAGCAGGGGTTTTTGACGTACTAGTACGCATAAATTCTAGCGCCGTCAAATCTCGCGGGAAAAGGCTCGTAGGCCTATATGTGAGAGAATGGGTCTGTGTGGTCAGTGTGGGTGGTAGAAAAAAAAATCTGGGACCCAGTGGTGCATTGTGGGAATGCCATCTTAGTACACAATGTCCATCATGCCTCGCGGTAAGAAGTTCCTCACTCCTTGGCGAATTGGGACACTTTTATTCCCCAGTGACAGTTCTAATACAGATGGTAGTGCCAGTGAAGATGAGTTTCAAGGTTTTGGTGAGGGTTTGACCGAAACTAATGACCATAATATCGGTAATAGTGAGGAAAACCCAGACGACCCTCAGCCTTCCACCTCTGGTGCTGGGCCGTCTTGTTCACGTTCAGTTGTACCAGAATCAAAGAGGAAACTCCTATTTTCCCAAATCCCAGACTCAGATGTGAGCATTTGTGATGATAGTGATAGTGATTATGAACTACAAGCTCTTGAAAACAGTTCCAGTAGTGATAGTGAAGTGGAATATTCCCCAGTGAAGTGTCAGTATATACGACGATATATGCGCTCTGGTAGTGTGCCATATGCTATTCCAAGGGGAAGGAGTACATCTCGGAGTACATCCCGTGGCTGTACAACAGGAACAGACAGTGAAAATGACGATGATAGTGTTTCAATTGGGATGGAAAATGTGCATGGTGATGGAGTGGTGGTGCCGGCCGTGAGGCACCAGCAGTGGGCCATGCTGCCACCCACGCCGCTGCCTCATCCGATCTACAACGAAGGCCACCATCCCCCACCCACTCACCACACCAGCCTCCACAACCACAACCTCCACAACCACAACCACCTGCCATCGTCCAGTACCCACCAGCAGACCGCACCTGGGATTGGCAGGAAGCTGTCAGTTTTGTTCCAAATGCCCACCAGTTTGATGACAGCCAAAGTGGAATACGGCCATCTTGTACACTTGGGAACAATGCCAGTGAACTGGAATGTTTCAAGTTATTCTTTGACGAACCCCTGATTGAAAGTATTGTCATGGAAAGCAACACATACTACGAGTACACCATGGCAAACACAATACTTTTACCAAAATCACGTCTACACCAGCGGAAGGAGGCAACTGTGGCTGAGATGTATCTTTTCTTTTCCACAATAATGCTTATGCCACATGTGTGTAAGCACAAAGGGAAATCATACGGGTCAACAGACCACCTGACTGCAACCCCAGGTTTCAGTGATATAATGCCAGTGAATCGATTTGTGCTAATGTTACGTATGCTTCACTTCTCAGACAAAACCAGGCCTGACAGAAACGACAGGTTATATAAAATTAGGAATGTGTTTGTGTATCCGAAAGAGAAATTCAATAAGTATTTTTATCCCTTCAGGAAGCTTGTAATTGACGAGTCTTTGATTCTGTTTAAAGGAAGACTCTCTTTCAAACAGTACATACCAAGCACGAGGAAACGCTTTGGTATAAAGTTGTTTGTGCTTTGTGATTGTTACAGTGGTCTGGTATTGGATATTATTGTGTACACGGGAAGTTATGCATTGCAAAACACCAGGAAGTTATTGGGCATCTCTGGTGATGTGGTTAGAACAATGATTGAACCATACCTTGGTAAGGGGCAAATATTATATACTGATAACTGGTACACAAGCCCCTCACTCAGTGATTTTTTGTGAGTGAACATGACAGATGTGTGTGGCACAGTGAGTGTAAATTGGAATCATATGCCCAGGTTTGACGCTGGCACTCGTAGAGGTGAGGTGCAGGAATTTGCTGCCAATGACACCATGGCATTTCGGTGGCATGACAAACGAGATATCACACTGTTGTCATCAGTTTACCCTAATGAAATGGCAGACACTGGCAGGCACCATAGAGAAAGCAATGAACCCATTCTAAAACCTGCAGCTGTGATTGAATACACCTTCAATATGCGTTCAGTGGACAAATGTGACATGCAGATTGGGTTTGCTGATTGTGTTTGCAAGAGTTGTAAGTGGTACATAAAACTCTTTTTCCATCTTCTGGACATTTCCATGCTCAATGCTTATAATATGTATAAGATGAGGACCAGAAACAAACCACAATACGGCGAATTCTGTTTGTGTGTCATCAGACAAATAGTATTCAAGTACGTAGGAAGAACACCTGCAATAGACCGCCCACCAAATTATCAACAACTACCTTCTCGTCTGAAGCATGGTGATCACTTCCTGGTAAAACTGCCTGCTACTGCTTTCAAGAAAAAGGCTCAGAAGAGGTGTTATGTCTGCGCACATACAAAAAAAACGCCCACAACAACGCAGAGACACTCGTTTTATGTGTGAGGAATGTAAAACACCACTGTGCATGACACCATGTTTCAAAGACTTTCACAGGCTGCAGAACTTCTAGAAACATTCCCTGTGACTGTATATGTGTATATAAAATATAGAAAAATAGTAATAAACAACATTTCATATCGTTTGTTTGTGTAAATATTGTCTATAAACAAAACAATGACAACAGTGTTTACGCCCTTATTGTGTAGTATTGAAAAAGAAAAAACTTACAAAATACTGATCATATTGGTCTCACAGGCCATAAAAGTTACTTGGAAAAAAAAAAATAAAAAAATAATAGAAATTAGTACAGTGGACCCCCGGTTAACGATATTTTTTCACTCCAGAAGTATGTTCAGGTGCCAGTACTGACCGAATTTGTTCCCATAAGAAATATTGTGAAGTAGATTAGTCCATTTCAGACCCCCAAACATACACGTACAAATGCACTTACATAAATACACTTACATAATTGGTCACATTCGGAGGTAATCTTTATGCGGGGGTCCACTGTATATAAGAAAGTAAATAAAAGAATACCAGGAGACGGCAATATGTTGCCATATTGTCCCCTTTTTTAATCAACTTCATGCCTCCATATCTCGGTAAGTATTGATGGTAAAAATTTTTTGTTTAGCCTATAATATTTAGAAAAAAAAAAAACTTTTTTTATAAGAAAAAATAATTTTTTTTTTTTTAAATTTGGCCGACCCTGAGAACGAGTCTCTGAGAGGACCTGTCGACCCTCAAAGGGTTAAGGTAATATACAACATTTAAACCACTCCAAAGAGATTATTATTATTATTATGCTTATCGCATCTTCAACACTAGTGAGACACTGTCAGTGATTTTATTATATACTTGCATGCCAGCACAGTGTGTAAGTTCATTTAGGTACAGGTACACATAAGTACAATTATCAGAGTACAGTGGAACCTCAAATATTGAACTGCTCCAACCTCAACCAATTATGTAAGTGCATTTTTGTAAGTGCTTTTATAAGTGTATTTTTGAGGGTCTGAAATGAACTAATCTAATTTACATTATTCCTGATGTGAATAAATTCGTTCAGTAACAGCACTCCAACAGCCGTCTGGAAAAAAGAATGTTCGATATTTGAGGTTCCACTGCATACATAAAATATGCAGTAACTTAAAAACACTTGAAATTTTGGAAAGTTTCCAGATATAATCGAGAGAGACAGAGCTCACAGAGGAAGTTAACAACCAGTGGTGCACGGATGCCATAAAAGCATATCATGGAGCTGTATAAACAAATTTTTGGTCATAATCTGAAATGTCCATATTAGTGAATCACCATAAAGTGAAGCACCGTAAAGTGGGGCCCTGTTATATGTGACTACAGGAATACAGCCTTAGAAATTAAATCTATTTAAGGGTATATGTTTTAGCTCCATGGATTAAATAAAAATTAAATTGCAAGAATGGTATAAACTTATTTTAAAACTGCTCTAACATATATTCACTTACGAAATCCAGTAACTAGTGAGTTACGCACCTGATGGAGTGGATGCAGCCTGACTGGCAAGTGGAACTTTGCTGTAATGGCGGTGTCTGAAAGATCTAGGTTTATGTAGTGGTTTATCCAACTCTGTTGTGCTTGGTGATGCTGGAGGAGATGGCACACCCTGACCTTCTTCACTCTGCCTATTGTACATCTGTTTCAAAAAAAAAAAAATAATATATATATATATATATATATATATATATATATATATATATATATATATATATATATATATATATATATATATATATATATATATATATATATAATATACACACATGTATATATAATCTTTGATTTGAAGTGCAATATTACCAACTTTCAAAAAATTACTTAATAAAGAACAAAATTACATTTTGTGATTTTAACATAAATATAAAACTTAAGAAAAACCCTTTAAGACAAATATATAAAATATTAACTCTTCAAGACATTTACATATAAAAATGGGAATTTTTGTAGATCTTAAATTTGCTGCCAGTTGCTAATTTATGACCCTGCTGAACTATTTGGGTGTCATGTCACTTTGTCACACAAAAGTTGATGCAGTGCATCATGAACAACAATGACTCAACAAGACATGTAAACAAGGCTTGTGACATGTCACTGCATCTGCCAAGTTGAGATTTGTGTATATTTAGCATTGTGAATGTAACATACAGGACAACCTAAGAAAGCCAAAAATGCAACTTATTTTATGTATTGAGAATCAAATGTACAGTGGAACCTCGACTTACGAGTTTAGTCCGTTCCCTGACCTAACTTGTAACTCAATTTGCTTGTATATGAAACCAATTTACCTCAATGAAATTAACTGAAATGCCATTAATCCATTCCAGCAGAATTCCTGCTCTCAGTAGGCAGGACAAAATACTTCAAAATGATGCTAATATCAACTCTATGGCTTATTTATCTATCACAATTCATCTAATATGACATAAACAATATAAATAACAGAAACATGATATATACCCTAGAATGAGTAATACAGTATATGTCATTATTTGATCAGTGATGGTGGTGGCTATTGCCACTCCCACAATGACCATATCTTCCCATTCTTCCACTTCTGAAAATGGAGTGTTTGTGAGGCTAACTGCACTAGATCAATAGTTTCATAAGGAAAACAGTGAAACAATGTATTTATAAATAAGAAATATCATATAAAAACATAAAAGAGAATGTAAAGAAATAAACTGGTTTCATAAAGTGTATGTACATATTTGCCTGGGAGAAGAGATGGAGGGTGGATGGGTGGAAGATAGGCAGAGTGGCGTATGCTGTTAGTGGCCCTCAACCCACAACCCCCACATCACTTTAATTCTTTAATTGCTTTAATTCCATTGGCATCATTTTCTTCTCAGCACTATCCTTTGCACTTCCAGTAAGGCCCCACTTATACGGCAGGTTAGGTTCCAGGCTACCGCCGTAAAGCAGAAATCGCCGTAAAGTGGAACACTCTTTTTTTCCACTAATAAATGTATACAAATACTAGATAACAAGTTTACACCATGAACATTAAAATGGTATACAATACCGACAGGTTGGTAGGTAAGACACATAGGCAACAGTTAGACAACTTTATTCCGAATAAAGTTGCCTAACTGTTGCCTGTGTGTCTTACCTACCAAGTTTACACTAACATATATTAAGTTAGCAATAGAACTAGGCATCAAAAAACAAAAAAAAAGTACAATACACACATAGTGCACTCATTACTTACCTTAAAATATTTATAGTCTTAATCTAGGGTGAGATGAGTAGTATTTATTGTAAGAAATCAAGTGTGGTACGTATGGTGGTTAGCCGAGCTACCATACCAGGCCACCCCACCTACACATAATATTATATTACATTTAAGCATCCGAGAGCAATAAAATGCAGATACAGTTTACTCATTACTTACCTTTAAATATTTGTAGTCCTAATCTAGGGTGAGATGAGTAGTATTTATTGTAAAAAATCAAGTGTGGTATGTATGGTAGTCAGCCGGGCTACCATACCAGGCCAACCCACCCACACATACTATTCTATGATATTTAAGTATCCCAGAGCGATAAAATGTATATACAGTTCACTTATTACTTACCTTAAAATATTTGTAGTCTTAATGTAGGGTCAGGAGTATGTAAATGAGATAAAACGAATAAATGAGAGAGAGAAAGAGTGAGTGCATGAGAGAGGACAGGCGCCGAGTTATGTAAACAAACCAGGCAAACGTAAGTTTTGTAAACAAAGTGTACATGTCTGGTTTGTGTACAAGTTACATCGTCTACAGGTTGTCTCTACATCGATACGGTAGAATAAATAAAGAAGAACACTCCCATTCTCATGTAACATCATTTTGAGAAGAAATGACGCTCTGAGTGAAGGCAATGGAAATAAGTCACACTGTCCGACTTTTTTGGGTTATCCTAGGTTCTCTACACATATGCTGTTATGTATGATAATCTATGTAACTGTATTTGTGTATACCTGAATAAACTTACATACGAAAGGAATAATTTTCTACAGTTACCCCCCCTTAACACATTTTCTCTTATGTTACATTAGAGAAAATGTTATTCTTGGCATCACTTGTAAAAGTTATCTGGCAACCACATCTCATATTTATGTTTATTTATTCTATTGTGGGGTGTATTTATCATCTTTATATGTTATGTATCATGTTTATTATATAATTTTGAAAAAAATATTATCGATGGATTAATGAAAATGTGAATATTAATGTAAAATACGACATTTAATGAGACTCTGTGATTATTATTATTATTATTTCTAATATGGCATCACTTGTGCAAGTTGTCTGCTAACACATCTCATATTTATGTTTATTTATTCTACTGTGGGGTGTATTTATCATATTTATATGTTATGCATCGTGTTTATTATATAATTTTGAAAAAATATCATAGATGGAATAATGAAAATGTGTATATTAACATAATATACGACATTTAAATGAGACTCGGTGATTATTATTATCATTACTAATATGACGTCTGGAGACATAAGACACTCTTACTGATTTTAATGTGTACCTGCACGCCAGCCCAGTATGTAAGTTTATATAGGTACAGGTATACATAAGTATAATTATCAGAGTATATATAAGGGGAATGTATGAGAGTATAGTTTTACCAACGCTCTTATATGGGTGTGAAGCATGGGTGATGAATGTTGCAGCGAGGAGAAGGCTGGAGGCAGTGGAGATGTCATGTCTGAGGGCAATGTGTGGTGTGAATATAATGCAGAAAATTCGTAGTTTGGAAGTTAGGAGGAGGTGCGGGATTACCAAAACTGTTGTCCAGAGGGCTGAGGAAGGGTTGTTGAGGTGGTTCGGACATGTAGAGAGAATGGAGCGAAACAGAGTGACTTCAAGAGTGTATTAGTCTGTAGTGGAAGGAAGGCGGGGTACGGGTCGGCCTAGGAAAGCTTGGAGGGAGGGGGTAAAGGAGGTTTTGTGTGCGAGGGGCTTGGACTTCCAGCAGGCATGCGTGAGCATGTTTGATAGGAGTGAATGGAGACAAATGGTTTTTAATACTTGATATGCTGTTGGAGTGTGAGCAAAGTAACATTTATGAAGGGGTTCAGTGAAACCGGCAGGCCGGACTTGAGTCCTGGAGATGGGAAGTACAGTGCCTGCACTCTGAAGGAGGGGTGTTAATGTTGCGGTTTAAAAACTGTAGTGTAAAGCACCCTTCCGGCAAGACAGTGAGGAGTGAATGATGGTGAGTGTTTTTCTTTTTCGGGCCACCCTGCCTTGGTGGGAATCGGCCAGTGTGATAATAAAATAATAATAATGAAATAACTTTTAAAAACACTTGAAATTTTGGAGTTTCCAGACATAATGGAGAGACTTAGTGCTTATGGATCTCACAGAGAATGTAAACAAACCGGGTGGGGCACGGTGACTGTATTAGAAAGTCAGGTGGGGGGAGCCATATGGCAGAGTTTTGGTCATAATTTGAAATGACCATATTAGCGGAACGCCATAAAGCAAAACGCAGTAAAGCGGGGCCCTACTGTACTTTCTTAGGACCCATGGTTAGAAAAAGAAATTTGGCAAAAATAACTGTACAAAATGCAAGTAAAGCATGAGAGAAGTGCTTCCACTGCTCAGCGGATGTTTTGGCATTTGCTGCGCCAACTAGTGGTGGTGTTCTGAAGCTCATTATTACTATTATTTTTTATTTTTCGGCAAGTCGGCCATCTCCCACCGAGGCAGGGTGACCTAAAAATAAAGAAAATCCCCAAAATGAAAATACTTCATCATTATTCAACACTTTCACCTCACTCATCCATATTCACTGTTTTTGCAGAGGTGCCCAGATACAACAGTTTAGATCTAAAGCATATGTAAAGATATATAACATATCCCTCCAAACTGCCAATATCCTAAACCCCTCCTTTAACCCTTTGAGGGTTTCGGACGTACTAGTACGGCTTACGACCCAGGGTTTTTGAAGTACTAGTACGCCTAAATTCTAGCGCCCTCAAATCTAGTGGGAGAAAGCTGGTAGGCCTCCATATGAAAGAATGGGTCTATGTGGTCAGTGTGCATGGTATAAAAAAAATCCTGCAGCACACAGTGCATAATGAGAAAAAAAAACTTTGACCGTTTTTTTGGAATAAAACAGCGACTTTGCACTGTATTTTCGTATGGTATTTATTGTTGTATTCTAGTTTTCTTGGTCTCATTTTATAGAATGGAAGGCATATCATAGAAATTGAGATGATTTTGACTGGTTTTACAATGAAAAGTATCTTGAAATTGAGCTCAAAATAGCAGAAAAGTCCGATTTTTACCAAAGTTCAAAAGTAAACAAATCATGCCAAGCGTCCAATACACGTCAACTGGTGAGTCTAATATTCTTTTGCAAGTGCGCCAATATGATTCATACCATTTTTTACACTAATGCAGTAGTCTGCATAACAGTAAATCTTCTATTTTTTGTGAGAATAAAAATTCAAAGTGGAAAGCAAAAGAATGTAAGAGGTGACTAATGAACAGAGAAAATGTCATTTTAGTGCCAGGAATGTATTTCTTGTTTGTTCTGGTCCCTATTCGGAAATTGGCATCTTTTGAAATTTGTGAAATTGGCAAAATTGCTAAATTCTGACCACTGTACTGGATAGTTGAAATTGGTA